GTTGGAAAACATGATAGAAACTAAGCTGGAAATCACATGATAGAATTTCACAAGATGAAAGACCTCTTCATTGCAAAACCATTTTCAACAAAAAGCACATGGATTACATCAAAATCAAATTAACCATATCTCAGGAAGACATGATGGAGAAGCTCAATATCAGCAGCTAAAATCAGGCAAGGGGCTGACAGGAAGAGACCATGAATTGCTCATATGTAAATTTAAAATAAAGCTGAAATAAATTAAAACCAATCCACAGGAGCCAAAATACGACCTTGAATCATATTCAAATAGGATTTGAAAATAAGAAATAAATATCAAAGGAATTTGATACTTTAATATCAAATTTAATATCAAAGCAGATGTCAGAATAGTAGCTATGTCAAATGAAAGAAATGATAAAGCAAAAAAGCTGAACAGAAAATTCCAAAGGGCAGCTCCAGAGGACAAAGTGAAATATTAAAATGAAATGTGCAAAAACCTAGATGTTGAAACCCAAAAGGAAGAACACTGTCAGCCTATCTGTAACTGAGAGGATTAAAGAAAAGAACTCAAGCTTTGAGTTGAATCTTGTAAGATTCTACAGGGAAAATATTGGATGATGCTGGAAGCATCCAAAGACGATGGAGAGAACAGTCATAGTATGAGAAAGAACTACTCAACATTCCACCATTTCAGGAGGTAGCCTATGAGCAAGAAAGAGTCCATGGATTGATGGAGTACCAACTGAAATAGTTCAACAAGTAAACTAAGCACAGGAAACACTCATCTATGCCAAGGCATTTGGAAGACAGCTCCTTGGCCAACTGACTGAAAGACTTCCATATTTGTACTCATTACAAAGCAAGGTGACCCAACAAAATTCTCAAATTATAGAACAAGATATTTAATACCAAGTAAAATTTTGCTGAGGATCATTCAACAATGGTTGCAGCTGTACACTGACAGAGAGCTGTCCGAAATTCAGATCGGATTCAAGAAGGTGGAGAGGAACAAGGGCTATATATCATTCCCTACGTCAGATGGATCTTGGCTCAAGCCGAGGAGTTTCATTGACTATGCAAAGGTATGTTACTGTGTGGACCATAACAAACTGCTATCGGGTTGCGATGAATCAGGAGTCAATTCAATGGTAGTGAATTTTTTGTTTTTGTTTTTGTTGGCATAATGGGTTACAGGTTGGGCTGCTAACTACAAGGTCAACAGTTTGAAACCACCAGCTGTTACTCAGCAGAAGGATGAGTTTTTTTACTCCCTTCAAGATTTATAGTCCAAGAAAACCACGGTGACATTTTTACTCTCCCTTTTTTCCCCCAGTCATTCTATTGGG